TTAGGGGGTAGATCAGCTTTAATATTGCAGATAGATTGTAACTTCCATCAATGTAATTGTCTGCATCACTTCCAATCCCCCATATGTTTTTTTTTACATACATACAGACAGTCGTATGTCTTCTCTTGAGAGCCAGGTCTGCCTACGGCGGCCTTTCTCAATAGCAAGGCTATGCTCACTGAGTCTGTACATAGTCAAAGCTTTCCTTAAATTTGGGTCAGTCACAGTGGTCAGGTATTCTGCCACTGTGTACTCTCTGTTTAGGGTCAAATAGCATTCTAGTTTGCTCTGTTTTTAATTCTTTCCAATGTGTCAAGTAATTAATTATCTTTTTGTTTTCTCATGATTTGGTTGGGTCTAATTGTGTTGCTGTCCTGGGGCTCTGTGGGGACTGTTTGTGTTTGTGAATAGAGCCCCAGGACCAACTTGCTTAGGGGACTCTTCTCCAGGTTCATCTCTCTGTAGTTGATGGCTTTGTTATGGAAGGTTTGGGAATCGCTTCCTTTTAGGTGGTTGTAGAATTTAACGGCTCTTTTCTGGATTTTGATCATTAGCGGGTATCGGCCTAATTCTGCTCTGCATGCATTATTTGGTGTTTTACATTGTACACTGAGGATATTTTTGCAGAATTCTGCATGCAGAGTCTTAATTTTGTGTTTGTCCTATTTTGTGAATTATTGGTTGGTGAGCAGACCCCAGACCTCAGAACCATAAAGGGCAATGGGTTCTATAACTGATTCAAGTATTTTTTGCCACATCCTAATTGGTATGTCGAATTTTATGTTCCGTTCTCTCTCTCTCTCTCTCTCTCTCTCTCTCTCTCTCACTCGCTCTAACACACACATAATAATGTTCTTTAGTTTAAGCTCTGATAGAAACGTTGATTCTAGATTGTTAAAATGTATAGGTTCCATTCTATTAATGTTAATGTACACATAAAACAGCCCAATGATTACTAAAATAATGTATTTAAACGGCGCTAGGAATTATCCTTCCTGTCCCCTGAAAGCACTGTTAATACTGTATCAATCGTATCACACATACAAAATGTGGTCAAATTTTCAATATCAATAATTATCTATATTTCTTTACCTTTCATCATTTTGTCCTCACTCAGGAAGGGCAGCATGTGTTTGTCCGGAAGGGGTGATTTATCTGGCTACACCATTTTCACAGGGAAGAGGGTGTCAGCACAGCTGTCATTCACTACGTCAAAATACTTTTCTCACCATCTCCACGTACTGGTAGCAGGTGAGGTGGTGGGTAGGGCGGCTGACGGCGGGTTGAAGAAGCTAGTAATGGGTGGTCGGGGTCGAGGTCGTCGTCGTCTCGCGCGCAACAGTACTGAGGTGTTTTTTTCCCTTTCATGTGGCTAGTTAGCGCTGCCTCCCCCATGTTTGAAACGTCAATATCTTTACTGCACATCTTGCATTTTGCGCATCCTGGGTTTTTGAACTTTCGCCAGCCACAACTCATACTTCGGCATGTGTAGCCAAGCATTGTTGAAGGAACATTTACCCGGCATTGCTAGCTAGTTGATTTGTTAGCTATTTAGCTTGCTAACTACGGAGGCCAGCTAGCCCAACATACACGAGCGTGAGAGAGGGAGGGAGGGGGGGGCAAAATCATACAAAATAAAAAAATAAAATAAAAAAAACATCCCACTGCTTCCCACTCCACATTTCAAATCACATCCCTACAGACGGGACATTCATCGAAAGGATTCCTTTTAATGCCTCTGCTCTAAAATCCCTGAGTCCCAAAAACCGCTCAGTTGCACTCATAATGATGCCTATTTTCTCAGATTTCCTCTCTGTTTGCGCTGTGCAGTTGATAACCAATGCAATAAACGCTACAGAGTTAACCTTCTTAACATGCAACATGTCAGGATCCCTCTGTTGACATGGAATATTATCTGGTGTCTCTACTCCTACTACTATTATTTATTCAACTTCACTCCTTTCTTCTACTCTTCTCACCGCCTCTGGAGGGGAGACATGCTGGACAGCCCTTATTCTTGCCACTTCCGTTTTCTTCACCCTAACAGGGGACTTCAGGAATTCGGGTGCATGTTCACCACCCCAATTGCAGCATTTAGGCTCAGCTGGCATACGGTACTCCTCCCGTCTACATACACTTGACACATTACCAAATAATTGCCATTTATCACACTGCATGGGTTTGGGCACGAAGGCTCTCACAGGGTATCTCATTCAAACCCAAATACACGCGAGAAGGGAGAGACTCTTCACCAACAAAAATATAGAATGGATGGAGTGGGCTTCCTCACTTAATCTACCATGCGGGTCAGTCGTTGTGCACCAACCACTTGATCTAATTCTTCACGTATATATCCTTTGTATTTACTTCTAGCGCCACCCCAGAGATAACACCCTTGATAGGCGCCCTGCTTCGACACATTCCAATCTGATATCTTCTTGAGGCTCAGAGCATGCTCCTTCTGTTACATAGATACACAAAAAACAGAAAAGAAGCCCACCGTTAACGCACAGTGATTTCTGCCAGCGAAGGAGAAGGAGGTAGCTGCAGCTCAATATGGTGGCTGGAGTATGGGCCAGCAGGTGTGTCTAGAGGAAAGCAGTGGGCATGTGGAAAGAAAATGAGTGGGTGTGTGGAAAGGAGTGGGTGTGTCAAAAGCGCTCTGCTATAGGTTAGACGGTTTTGATTGAGTGGTGTTTTGTTTCCCCTGTTTCTTACAACACACCTACAGTATATTGAACTACCATACTGCGAGAGTTTGGACTTGTGTTTTGAAGCCAGAGGATGAGTCTGAGTCATATTTCACTGTTAGTTTTACACAAATAATTGTAGCTTTTCAGTTATAAAACTTGAAATAAAATCATGGGAGGGAATAAAATGCCCACGCTAGCTACCGCCGACATGACCGTGATATGATCATGTCTCAGGATTGCAGGCATGGCTATACAACACCTGCGCACTGGTCGCCAGTTTATCGACTTGTTGTGCAGTCCAATCAGCCGCGCAAAACGGTCTTGAGTGGCAACAAATCTGCCCAATTAGCTGATTCGCATTCCATACACTCCTTTCGACACACCCACTCGCCGGTCACCATATTGGGCTGCAGCTACCCAGACTTTCAGCAGAGGGCAAACGAGTAAGTGCAATGTCAATGAGGGCCAACAGAGATTTTCTTTAAGAATATATTTGTAAACACCATTTAAGTTATTAAATTGCATTCTGAGCACCTTTCGTTGACTGTTTCATTTATTCCGAATATGGCGGAAATTACATCTGTAGTCCTGTGATCTGTGAATGTTGGGCACTCGGAATTCCAGGGTTGTGTTTCATTCCCGCTGGGGTCACCAATACAAACAATGTATGTAGGCCTACTCACTGTTATAAGTCGCTTTAGATAAAAGTGTCTGCTCAATGGCACATATTATATTTATATAACTGCGCGACCAAGTCACTATTCACTTTACATTTGTAAATACAGTCATACTTGCCATAGAACATGGTAGTGTGTCTGACAGCAAAACGGTGAAATACTATTATACTGTTAAACAGAAAATATTACGCACAGTTGCACCAAACTTTTGTTAAAAAAAACTCTTTATTTATCCTACATAGCAGACTTTCTAAAGAGTTGCGGTTCAATGGGACCTGAAGCATGTTCCACAAGCAGACCCTCATGACAACTATAGCTTAGAATGAAATAAGAACCTGAAAATACATTTTTATCAATATCACAATGGCAGTGTTAATCTATAAACCATCATGTTCCAATCAGGTGCATCAACATATCTCAATTTCTTTGTATTTGTGGTTATAAATATACATCATAATTATGTCATATTCACCAAATATCCGGTAACAATTTGTGGTGTGTGCATATAACACAATGTCAATTTGGAACTGAACCGTAGGACCTAAATGCAAAGCATAAATTGCATGAACATAAGTAGATGGGTTTATATAGGCCTACATTTTATGTAGGGGTTTTGGTTGTAGATATCTGTATTTTCACTCATAATAGCAACATGCAAAAATATGCTTCAGTTCCTTCAGCGTGCCTTCATAGCCTTCAGCCTATTGATTTGGTCAATTACATTCATCAATATCCAAGACACTAACAAACATTATAAAGATTACACAAATATTTGGCAGAAGCATAAACACTTGAAGTAGATTGTGGATTGCTTTCCAAAAACGTCTATTTCAACAAACACTGATTGCTACACTTTCATGTTGCTCTCACTTGAACGATTCATAATGCACAATCATTTACAGATACAGTATGTAAGGCATTGGAAGGGATGGCAGCTTACTACACTATTAAATAATGTTAGGATAAACCTATGCAAACTCAATTACTACTGAACAGTGTCGGCTATAATTAAATAAGCGTTTGTAATACGGAAACAAAACAATGTCACCAAATCTCATACTAAGCGACTTCTTCAAACACAAAAAGATAAATATAACAGTAAAGGGAATCAATGCTTTTGAAAATAATAATTAAACTCAGATATCAAGCAATTAATGTAACGTGGTCGGCAGGTAGCTTAGTGGTTAAGAGCGTTGTGCCAGTAACCGAAAGGTCGCTGGTTCTAATCCCCGAGCCGACTAGGTGAAAAATCTGCCGATGTGCCCTTGAGCAAGGCACTTAACCCTAATTGCTCCTGTAAGTCGCTCTGGATAAGAGCGTCTGCTAAATGACGTAAATGTAAAATGTAAATGTAATTATAAGTGCTACATATATGTGGGATAAATATAACATTGGTTGAACAATATGTTTTCATTCTCCTTACGGTCCTTGGAGAGGGTCAGGAATGGTCCGATTTGTAACTATCAACATCTAATACACAAAACAACACAGTTAATTTTGACAGGAAATCATGAGAAATGTAGGCATGCGGTCAATGTTTATGTAAAACAAAAAACAAACAACAAAAAAAGAAAATCAGGAATGATGATAAGGAAAGTGAAAGGAAAATACTGTGTTGGCGGAAGCGTTTTCAGCTAAAGTCCCGGTTGGTGAGTATCATGGGGGCGACCAGCGTCCAGGTGTAGATGGTAAGGCACACCCAACTGGAGATGATCTTCACCCAAACCGCCGGCCACTTGCTGGTCATGGCATTGTAGTCTGCATCAGGACTGTGTGGGGAAAAAAATAAGATTTATATATATTGTCATATCTGAACAATTGTTACGGTGTGAATCGGTAGGAGAAATATCCATGGTATAAGTGTTGCGTTGCAACATTTCTGTGTTGCTTTGTGGTCACTTTCATTTTAGAGAGATGGAGCCGTCTCCTGTTGTGCAGAGTTGAAATATAAAATATTGAACTATAAAAGAACACATGCCAAACATGTATCGATGTGCAATGAATGTCGTTCCTCTTTAGTGTCAGAACGTTGTGGTTCCTCCCCATTTTTGACATACATATTATGAACAACGGGAGTGTCACTAGCTGTCCAATCCTTGCTCTCTCCGTCCTTATTTCCTCAAAACTAATTGGAGGAGGATCTCAGAGGGAGGGACCTTGGCTCCTCAAATCCTTCAAAGGGAATTAAGGAAACAAGGACGGAGGAAGCAAGGACTTAACAGCTAGTGACGTTTTCAGACACAGCACTTCATGACGCTGGTCATCTGTATAGTTTGGCCATCCTGACCTGTACCAGTTGGTGAGAGTCATCATGATGTAGAGCGAAGCCAGGAAGAGCATGAAGTGGAAGAAGGAATAGTTGTACTGGACCGTGTCCCTCTCGTTGTCCTCCACACGCCTGGGACCCTTTCTCCCGGTCCCTCCCTCCTCCTCGTCCGGGGTGCCTGCTTTACTCTCCTCCAGGATCACCTTGTCGTTAGAGGCCATGGTTAACTTGTTCACCTGGCTGGTGTTGGACGAGCGGATGCTGCAAGGAAGTACACATTTATAAGTATTATAATAAGCACTATAATAATTTCATAAGCAATTATAACATAACATATAAAGCATTTGTAAGCATTTATAAGTATTTCTAATTATTGTAATGCTTTAATAAACTATAACCAAAGTGGATTGCATTAGCGCTTTTCACAGTGCTCAAACTGCAAACTGAAATTCTAATTCTGTGAACGGGGGAGTCCCCACATCCACTAATACTGTGAGGCACCAACAAATGTACATTTCTTCTATTCCCCAAACCACGATGTGCTGTAGCTGTACTCAGGTCTGCCTTGCTGACCAATCACACCTGGAGTAGAGGATGCAGAGGACGAAGATGGCCAATCCCACGATGCTCTGGGCGTCCCACCATTGCAGATAGGGGGAGGACAGGATGGGCTCCTCGGTGCCGATGATCACCACGACCGTCTGGTTCTCGATCTCCAATGGGGCCAGTGTGGGCACCAGTGTCTGCTGGAAGATGCTCAGCAGGCTGGGGTTGCATGTCCGGTCTAAAGGGGGACCGGGGGGTGGTTGCCCAACAGGGGAAAAAATGAACGATATTGAGATTTCCACTTTTTCCCTTTCATTTTTATATACTATTTAATTAGTTGTAAATCATAATCATATCATTAATCCATGGGAGGGGGTGGTGACTTTTCAGTTTGACTTGAGCTGAACAGGTGAATTTGCAATTTGCTCAGGCAATGTAGAGTTTAAGCAAGTACGTGTTTGTAATTAAGAATTTATTTGATAGTACCCAGTAATTAGTCATATAGAGAAGCATTTAAACTATTGGTTAATGAAGTATGAATTAATAATGAACATTAGGAGAAACAAGATAAGGATGCAGTGCTGTTGTGGCAGCAGCTATAACAGTATCTCTTACCAGGCTCGTTGTTCATGGCCGACCAGGTCAGATACATGGTATACATGGTCATGATGGAGGACTGGAGTAGACCGGATCGGGGATGGAAATTCTAAAAATAATTAAACAAAACAACTGTGATTTACAAACGGATACCAAAAATGTTTTTTTTATTATTATCTACACTACAGGTCAAAGGTTTTAGAACACCTACTCATTCAAGGGTTTTTCTTCATTTTTACTATTTCTTCATTTTTACTATTTTCTACATTGTAGAATAATAGTGAAGACATCAAAACTATGAAATAACACATATGGAATCATGTATTAACCAAAAAAGTGTTAAAACAAATATATATTTGAGATTCTTCAAATAGCCACCCTTTAACTTGATGACAGCTTTGCACACTCTTGGCATTCTCTCAACCAGCTTCACCTGGAATGCTTTTCCAACAGTCTTGAAGGAGTTCCCACATATGCTGAGCACTTGTTGGCTGCTTTTCCTTCACTCTGTGGTCCGACTCATCCCAAATCATCTCAATTTGGTTGAGGTCAGGGGATTGTGGAGGCCAGGTAATCTGATACAGCACTCCATCACTCTCCTTGGTAAAATAGCCCTTACACAGCCTGCAGGTGTGTTGGGTCATTATCCTGTTGAAAAACAAATGATAGTCCCACTAAGCCCAAACCAGATGGGATGGCGTATCACCGCAGAATGCTGTGGTAGCCATGCTGGTTAAGTGTGCCTTGAATTCTAAATAAATCACACAGACAGTGTCACCAGCAAAGCACTCCCACACCATAACACCTCCTCCATGCTTTATGGTGGGAAATACACACGCAGAGATCATCCGTTCACCCACACCGCGTCTCACAACGACACGGCGGTTGGAACCAAAAATCTCAAATTTGGAGTCCAGACCAAAGGACAAATTTCCACCGGTCTAATGTCCATTGCTTGTGTTTCTTGGCCCAAGCAAGTCTTTTCTTCTTATTGGTGTCCTTTAATAGTGGTTTCGTTGCAGCAATTCGACCATGAATGCCTGATTCACAGTCTCCTATGAACAGTTGATGTTGAGATGTATCTGTTACTTGAACTCTGAAGCATTTATTTTGGCTGCAATTTCTGAGGCTGGTAACTCTAATGAACTTATCCTCTGCAGCAGAGGTAACTCTGGGTCTTCCATTCCTGTGGCGGTCCTCATGAGAGCCAGTTTCATCATAGCGCTTGATGGTTTTTGCGACTGCACTTGAAGAAACGTTCAAAGTTCTTGAAATGTTCCGTATTGACTGACCTTCTTGTCTTAAAGTAATGATGGACTGTCGTTTCTCTTTGCTTATTTGAGCTGTTCTTGTCATAATATGGACTTGGTCTTTTACCAAATAGGGCTATCTTCTGTATACCCCCCCCTACCTTGTCACAACACAACTGATTGGCTCAAACGCATTAAGAAGGAAAGACATTCCACAAATTAACTTTTAAGAAGGCACACCTGTTAATTGAAATGCATTCCAGGTGACTACCTCATGAAGCTGGTTGAGAGAATGCCAAGAGTGTGCAAAGCTGTCATCAAAGCAAAGGGTGGCTATTTGAAGAATCTCAAACATAAAATATATTTTGATTTGTTTAACACTTTTTTGGTTACTACATTATTTCATAGTTTTGATATCTTCACTATTATTCTACAATGTAGAAAATAGTAAAAATAAAGAAAAGCCCTTGAATGAGTAGGTGTTCTAAAACTTTTGACCGGTAGTGTATATCAGGGTTTCCCAAACTCGGTCCTGGGGTCTCCAATGGGTGCACGTTTTAGTTTTTGCCCTTGCATCACACAGCTGATTCAAATAATCAACGCTTGATGATGAGTTGATTATTTGAAATCAGCTGTGTAGTGCTAGGGCAAAAACCAAAACGTGCACCCCATGGGAGGCCATAGGACCGAAATTGGAAACTCTTATCTAAATTATTATCACTGCATTGTTGGGAAAGAGCTCTCAAGAAAGAATTTCATTGTACCGTTTTACACCTGTTGTATGCTGTGCACGTGGCAAATAAACATTGAAACTTGAACATGTTGAAAGTGACATCTGAGTAGGCATCATTGGAGGTTTCTCCAGGTAGGAAAGGGAGGATGGATAAAAAAATCCTCCATGTAATAAATATACAAAAGTCACCAGCCGCCACTGGTAGGCATGTGTGTTATAATTAGGGCCTGGATTTGTTCTTAACCACAAGTATTTCAAGCTGTACTTCAATCCTTATCCTCGAGGCGTCACTGCAGGCAGTTTATCTCAGCAGTTACCAGATAATCAATACACCGATGGGTCACACTCATATGATTACAGTTAAAATGTCAAAAACGTACCATAAAAATGTAGCAGATCTAGGTTCAGCCTACGCTCCCCCAAATGCTAACCTTAACCACTACAGGGGCAAATGCTAAACTGACCTACGAATGAAATGATGAATATGAACTTTAAAGGAGCATTGAAAGAACCTTGAACGAGGGCTCACCTGTACTCTGGGCAGGATGGACACGACAGAGGCTACGGCACAGAGGATCATGTTGAAGCTGATGAAGAACTTGTTGAGCAGACAGCCCTCTGACTGCGTGTAGAAGACGTACATCATGACGACGGCGATGAAGGCCATGACGTAGTTGAGTCCAGTTACAGCGAACAAGGCTAGACGGAAGACGATAGAGAGAATCAGATTCGAGTTGCATTGTTTTGATAAAGCAGGACAGATTCTGTCGTAGAGCATTATATACTGTCAGCACTATTGACAACTGACCTTATGTTACAGTTCACCATGTATTTACCTGCTTGAATTGATATCACATACTTTACTAAAAAGTACCAGGTGAATACTTGCTAAAACAGGACTTCAAATAAATGTCACATCAGCATCTCTAATGATCAAAACAACAATAATTTGGCCAATCATAAACACTGTGTTGATGCTCTTTTATTCCACCTTTTTCTTCTCTTTCATTTTAGTGTTTTACTGCTAACTAAGTGTGTTGCGATTGTAAGTGGATTTTAAATCAAGTTTGATTTGATTTGACTTCCCCCAGCAGAGGGTCAGGCAGACTCACCTGCGTACCAGCCCCTGGAGTTCCCGCTTTCCATGTTGTCCACCCAGGACTCATTCCAGGAGTGGGCAAAGTCCACCATCAGAATCAGCTGGATCAGGATGAAGAAGAATGCCCCAGAGATACCCACCACGAACCACACTGCACACACCAACACACAGACACAGACACACACACCATCAACTATCCACAAGCACGGCTAAGTAGAAAGTTATTACTATATTTCAATTTACAATAAATTGTAATATCAACCATTAATAGTATATCACTCATGTTTATGCTGATTGTGCATGCTATGCATGGTCAAGTGCTACATTGATCAATCATAATTAATACACAAATATCAACGTTCGCATCATAAACTATGACACATTATTTAAATTGTGTCAATCTTACAGTGAGTGAAAGGCCCCTCAGGGATATAAAAGGCACCGACTGTCACTGCAACCATGGTGGCAATCTTAAAGAACCAAAACCTGCATGGGGGAAAGGAAGTCATTCGTCAACTGAATCGAACAGACAAAGAACCATATGTGCATTTTGAAAGAAAATGTGATAGACTTCATGAATCATTATTAGAAAGTACAGAAAATAAATATGAAATAAAAAAACGAATAGTATTATAGTAAGTATTATTGAAACAGAGAAGTGTGATCACATGACATGATCTTTCAATAATGGCACTTGATGTGGTGTACAGATAAAATATATATATTTTTTAATATTGACAGTATGAGCATTTAAAAAAAATGCACATATGGTTATTTTGTTGCAAGGGTATACCTAGTAAATATACATGAATAGGCTTAATATGTACATTTCTAAAAACCTGTTTTCGCTTTGTCATAATGGAGTATTGTGTGTAGATAGATGAGGGGGAAAAATACTTTTATCAATTTTAGAATAAGGCTGTAACGTAACAAAATGTGGAAAAAGGGAAGTGGTCTGAATACTTTCCGCGTGCACTGTACATGATTAGGCTTATGCTGTATTGCTGTTACTATAAACTCTAGTGCAGTTATTCTCCTCTGTTTCAGAGAGGCACGGCGGCCTAAAACACGTTAGCTCAGTGACCTGTTGTGGAAGAGATTATTTCATTAATATTGCCATTGGTTGTTGTGACAGTGTGTGTAGCAGTGTGATAGTCATACTGTATGACAGAAAGAAAATTGTCAACAAACAAGGGTGTCTTACCAGTACCTCATTATGACATTAGTTAAGTTACAAGCAGTGTACATGTTATTTTCAGTTTATAATAATAAAGGGTATTCACCTTAATACTGACTTTTAAGTCAAAGTTGGCATAGAAACAAGTAGTATTACACGTAGGCCTTTACTTGTAGTATTTTTATTTTATGTATATATTTTTTTAAGGGGTGCATCATGTGATGGCTGGTTACCCGTTGTGGATGGCGGAGCGCGGGTCTCGGCTGTTCTTGACATTGATCATAATCAGAGCGAACGCCAGGAAACACATGCTCATTCCGAAGCAAACCCGGTACACGGCTTTGTAGCCCACAAAGATCCCACAGTTCATGTTGGCATGGATTCCTGGGATAGAAGAGCCTGCTCCGCCTTCACAGAACCAAGGAATCTACAGGCACAGATGGACATTGGCACAAACCATTCAGGTCAGTCTAACCTACTGTACAGAGTAGACCAGCATTACTATAGCCTGGCTGCATGATTCTGTATTCAATAACCTAACATTTTCACTTTGGTACTGGAAGTCAACAACAACTTGGCTACTATCATGAGTGACTATACTACAAATGTCAGCTTTTCACATACAGTATTATAACCATTCATACAGCAGTGTTCATTTAGTTTAGTCTTAGTCATTTTGACTCTCATATCATTAAGTGTTAGTCACATTTTTGTCATTTGAATAATGATTTAGTATAGTTATGGTCAAAATGACAAAAACAGTGGGTCATTTTTTATCAACTAAATGCCCTTTAATTTTAGTCCCATCATATTTGTATTGCCTCATTAACCTACAGTACCGGTCAAAAGTTTGGACACACGTACTCATTCAAGGGTTTTTCTTATTTTTACTATGTTCTACATTGTAGAATAATAGTGAAGACATCAAAACTATGAAATAACACATATGGAATCATGTAGTAACCAAAAAAGCGTTAAACAAATCAAAATATATTTTATATTTGAGATTCTTCAAATAGCCACCCTTTGCCTTGATGACAGCTCTGCAAATTCTTGGCATTCTCTCAACCAGCTTCACCTGGAATGCTTTTCTAACAGTCTTGAAGGAGTTCCCACATATGCTGAGCACTTGTTGGCTGCTTTTCCTTTACTCTGCGGTCCGACTCATCCCAAACCATCTCAATTGGGTTGAGGTCGGGGGATTGTGGAGGCCAGGTCATCTGATGCAGCACTCCTTCTTGGTAACATAGCCCTTACACAGCCTGGAGGTGTGTTGGGTCATTGTCCTGTTGAAAAACAAATGATAGTCCCACTAAGTCCAAACAAGATGGGATGGCGTATCACTGCAGAATGCTGTGGTAGCCATGCTGGTTAAGTGTGCCTTGAATTCTAAATAAATCACACAGACAGTGTCACCAGCAAAGCACTCCCACACCATAACACCTCCTCCATGCTTTATGGTGGGAAATACACACGCAGAGATCATCCGTTCACCCAAACCGTGTCTCACAACGACACGGCGGTTGGAACCAAAAATCTCAAATTTGGAGTCCAGACCAAAGGACAAATTTCCACCGGTCTAATGTCCATTGCTCGTGTTTCTTGGCCCAAGCAGGTCTCTTCTTCTTATTGGTGTCCTTTACTAGTGGTTTCTTTGCAGTAATTCGACCATGAAGGCCTGATTCACACAGTCCCCTATGAACAGTTGATGTTGAGATGTGTCTGTTACTTGAACTCTGTGAATCATTTATTTGGGCTGCAATTTCTGAGGCTGGTAACTCTAATGAATTTATCCTCTGCAGCAGAGGTAACTCTGGGTCTTCCTTTCCTGTGGCGGTCCTCATGAGAGCCAGTTTCATCATAGCGCTTGATGGTTTTTGCGACTGCACTTGAAGAAACATTCAAAGTTCTTGAAATTTTCAATTTTTGACTGACCTTCATGTCTTAAAGTAATGATTGACTGTCGTTTCTCTTTGCTTATTTGAGCTGTTCTTGCCATAATATGGACTTGGTCTTTTACCAAATAGGGCCATCTACTGTATACCCCTCCACCTTGTCACAACGCAACTGATTGGCTCAAACGCATTAAGGAGGAAAGAAATTCCACAAATTAACTTTTAAGAAGGCACACCTGTTAATTGAAATGCATTCCAGGTGACTACCTCATGAAGCTGGTTGAGAGAATGTCAACAGTGTGCAAAGCTGTCATCAAGGCAAAGGGTGGCTATTTGAAGAATCTCAAATATAAAATAGATTTTGATTTGTTTAACACTTTTTTGGTTAATACATGATTTCATATGTGTTATTTCATAGCTTTGATGTCTTCACTATTATTTTACAATGTAAAAAATAGTAAAAAATAAAGTAAAACCCTTGAATGAGTAGGTGTGTCCAAACTTTTGACTGGTACTGTATAGTAAACATAAATCACTGACTTCCATGTGCACAAAAATACATAGCCTTGTCTTACCAATATATTTTTCTGCATAACATCCTATTCTCTTCCCAACAGCAGAAACATGACAAACATACACAATAATAATATATTATAGAATAATTATCTGGCCATGTAAATTCAGTCTACAAAGAAAGAAAAGAAACGAAGAAAGAAAGAAAAAAGAAAGAAAGAAAGAACGAAAGAAAGAAAGAAAGAAAGAAGAAAGAAAGAAAGAAAGAAAGAAATAAAGAAAGAAATAAAGCAAAAAAACAGAAGCAGAAAGAAAGAAATCACCTCCCTCCCCTCCCCCCCCTACCCTCCCTCCTCACCCCCTCCGCCCTAACTCCATCCTACAACCCTCCCTCCCTCCCTCCCTCCATACCCCCTACCCGCCCTCCCCATCCTCCCTACCTCCCTCCCTCCCGACTCCCTCCCTCCCTCCATCCCTCCCTCCCTCCACTCCCTCCCTCCCACCTCTCCTCCCTCCCTCCTCCCTCTCCCCGCCCTCCCTCCCTCCCTCCCTCCCTCCTCCGCACTCCTCCCTCCCTCCTCCCTCCCTCCCTCCATCCCTCCCTCCCTCCCTCCCTCCCTACCTCCCTCCCTCCCCCCTCCCTCACTCCCTCCCTCCCTCCCTCCATCCCTCCCTCCCTCCCCTCCTCCCTCCCTCCCTCCCTCCCTCCCTCCTCCTCCCTCCCTCCCTCCTCCCTCCCTCCCTCCCTCCCTCCCTCCCTCCCTCCTCCCTCCCTCCCTCCCTCCCTCCCCCCCCTCCCTCCCTCCCTCCCTCCCTCCCCCCCTCCCTCCCTCCGCTCCCTGCCCCGTCCCTCCCTCCCTCCCTCCCCTCCTCCCCCGCCCTCCCTCCCTCCCTCCAGCCCTCCCTCCCTCCCTCCCTCCCTCCCCCCTCCCCTCCCCCTCCCTCCCTCCGCCCCTCCCTCCCTCCCCCCTCCCTCCCTCCCTCCCTCCCTCCCGCCCCCCTCCCTCCCTCCCCTCCCGCCCTCCCCTCCCTCCCTCACTCCCTCCCTCCCTCCTCCCTCCCTCCTCCCTCCCCCCTCCCTCCCTCCTCCCTCCCTCCCTCCCTCCCTCCCTCCCTCCTCCCTCCTCCCTCCCTCCCTCCTCCCTCCCTTGTACGCGAGAAAGAAAAGAAAAAAAGAAAGACAGATGTTGCTGCAAATACATAGTATGGGTTGCACCTCCTTCACTCGGGTCGCGTCTTTGCCATTGTTATCAACGTTCCAGATAGAAAGACATAGCTAAACTCAATGCTGCTACTGTTTTTAATTTCGTAAAGCAGCTTGTGTTTCTTAACCAGGCAAAGGGCATTTAATTAAAAGGCTGGTGGTGACTGGTTAGCTAAGGTGAAGCAAGAGTCACCTGCGTGATGTGTATAAATCGGAGGCTGAGCCGTGAAGCGTCCTTCCTGCTGCTGAACACAACTGTGGTGCGCATCTGTGCTGCTAGTATTAATTGTGCTTATCACTAAAAAGCTCTCAATCTCGCCAAAAACTCTTCTCCAGTCCACTTTGTAGTCAGATTTTAGTCACAGAGATCATTTTGTCTCGTCTCGTTTTTAGTCAACTGAAATGAAAAATAGTTTTAGTTTAGCTATAGTTTTTTCTGTGTCTATTTAGTCAGTTATAGTCACGTCAACTGCCACGGAAGAATAGGTGTTTGACAAATATTTTAGTCACTATTTTTGTTGACGGAATTAACACTGCCATAAAGTCATTCAACTTTCCCATTTGCAATGAATATACAGGTAACTGCAGAAATAAAGGAAACATGAGTAAATGAGGGATACAACATACAGTGGGGAAAAAAAGTATTTAGTCAGCCACCAATTGTGCAAGTTCTCCCACTTAAAAAGATGAGAGAGGCCTGTAATTTTCATCATAGGTACACGTCAACTATGACAGACAAAATGAGAAAAAAAATCCAGAAAATCACATTGTAGGATTTTTAATGAATTTATTTGCAAATTATGGTGGAAAATAAGTATCTGGTCAATAACAAAAGTTTCTCAATACTTTGTTATATACCCTTTGTTGGCAATGACACAGGTCAAACATTTTCTGTAAGTCTTCACAAGGTTTTCACACACTGTTGCTGGTATTTTGGCCCATTCCTCCATGCAGATCTCCTCTAGAGCAGTGACGTTTTGGGGCTGTCGCTGGGCAATACGGACTTTCAACTCCCTCCAAAGATTTTCTATGGGGTTGAGATCTGGAGACTGGCTAGGCCACTCCAGGACCTTGAAATGCTTCTTACGAAGCCACTCCTTCGTTGCCCGGGCGGTGTGTTTGGGATCATTGTCATGCTGAAAGACCCAGCCACGTTTCATCTTCAATGCCCTTGCTGATGGAAGGAGGTTTTCACTCAAAATCTCACGATACATGGCCCCATTCATTCTTTCCTTTACACAGATCAGTCGTCCTGGTCCCTTTGCAGAAAAACAGCCCCAAAGCATGATGTTTCCACCCCCATGCTTCACAGTAGGTATGGTGTTCTTTGGATGCAACTCAGCATTCTTTGTCCTCCAAACACGACGAGTTGAGTTTTTACCAAAAAGTTATATTTTGGTTTCATCTGACCATATGACATTCTCCCAATCCTCTTCTGGATCATCCAAATGCACTCTAGCAAACTTCAGACGGGCCTTGACATGTACTGGCTTAAGCAGGGGGACACGTCTGGCACTGCAGGATTTGAGTCCCTGGCGGCGTAGTGTGTTACTGATGGTAGGCTTTGTTACTTTGGTCCCAGCTCTCTGCAGGTCATTCACTAGGTCCCCCCGTGTGGTTCTGGGATTTTTGCTCACCGTTCTTGTGATCATTTTGACCCCACGGGGTGAGATCTTGCGTGGAGCCCCAGATCGAGGGAGATTATCAGTGGTCTTGTATGTCTTCCATTTCCTAATAATTGCTCCCACAGTTGATTTCTTCAAACCAAGCTGCTTACCTATTGCAGATTATGTCTTCCCAGCCTGGTGCAGGTCTACAATTTTGTTTCTGGTGTCCTTTGACAGCTCTTTGGTCTTGGCCATAGTGGAGTTTGGAGTGTGACTGTTTGAGGTTGTGGACAGGTGTCTTTTATACTGATAACAAGTTCAAACAGGTGCCATTAATAAAGGTAACGAGTGGAGGACAGAGGAGCCTCTTAAAGAAGAAGTTACAGGTCTGTGAGAGCCAGAAATCTTGCTTGTTTGTAGGTGACCAAATACTTATTTTCCACCATAATTTGCAAATAAATTCATTAACAATCCTACAATGTGATTTTCTGGATTTTTTTTCCTCAATTTGTCTGTCATAGTTGACGTGTACCTATGATGAAAATTACAGGCCTCTCTCATCTTTTTAAGTGGGAGAACTTGCACAATTGGTGGCTGACTAAATACTTTTTTCCCCCACTGTATATTGAAAGCATGTGCTTCCACACAGGTGTGGTTCCTGAGTTAATTAAGAAATTAAAACATCCCATCATGCTTAGGGTCATGTATGAAAATGCTGGGCAGACCATTATTTTGGCTACCATGATTAAAAGAAGAGATCTCAGTGACTTTAAAAGAGGGAGCATAGTCACCAGATCTCAACCCAATTTAACACTTATGGGAGAGACAGCGTTTTCCACCACCATCAACAAAACACCAAATGATTACATTTCTTGTGGAAGAATGGTGTCGCATCCCTCCAATAGAGTTCCAGACACTTGTAGAATCTATGCCAAGGTGCATTGAAGCTGTTCTGGTGGTTCTTAGTGGCTCAACGCCCTATTAAGACACTATGTTGGAGTTTCCGTTATTTTGTCAGTTACCAGTATATGTCAATGTTTCAATTTAGAATGACAGTATACACAGACTTGCAATGTTAATGCAACCTTAATATGCAGTAAGGTTGCAACTCTGAGTAGGCCCCTACTGTTTTATACTGTGTGTGACTTAACTCTTCCCACCAATAGCCTCCCCATGTATTCAAGCATTATTAAAGCAACAAATGACCATTCACCATGTACACAAACATCTACTATGACACATCATGGCTCATCATCTCATGCGCACACACACACACACACACACACACACACACACAGTGTTTCTCAATATGCATACTAGCGTGCTCCGAGCACGCAATCTGGAGCACGGGAGGGTCGGTGCATGAGGGCACTTCTCGGATGCGTACTCCACTCGTACACATTTCGAAGCATGCATTGACACCTGTTGTATTCGGCGGATGTGACAAATACGATTTGATCGAACAGTAATATGATGCAAACAACTAAAAAAAACGTCTCAACACTTCGACATAAAATGGCGGCCATTACTTGAGCTGAAGCGAGAGAAAATAAACTGACTTCAGAATTAAATGTTTCCCAATCAAATCTAATGTAACCTGACTACAATATTGTATCTTGAAAAAAGTAAAATACATGCAGTGTTAATTTTGGCATGTTTACCAGCTTACAATACCCACTGTAGTGTGCGTAGATCGTAATCACATCGTAAGTCAATAGGGCCAACTGGCTAACTACTACCAAATGTATTTTTTTTTTATAACTAACCCATTGTTCTATCTGTGCAACTACTGTTAGCTAGCTAGTTACAAATAATTGACATTACCTTGCATAACATTACTTTTTCATTTTTGCCTGTTAAACTATCTGGTTAACTACATTATTACGATTCACATATAGCTAGCTGATAGTTATGAAGAAAACGTTTGCTTTGTGTATATCTTGTTTCGTCTTTATTGCCATTGTCCTGGCTGGAAGAAGGTTCAGTGAATGGGGAGGTGCTGTGTGTGAGGTAATACAGTAGGGGGAGTGCTTCTCAAATGGAATGTTTTATGCGTTCTCCACACTCGCCCTCACAAGAACGGACTCAAGAGGAACGTCCTCGGAGAATGCACTCGGAGCATGAGAGTGTGGAGTATGGTAGTATGCATATTGAGAAACACATCGATTGGCCCGTCTCGTACCTTTTTTAGCTGCTCGTCCACTCCCGGTGACAACATGATGCAGGCTATAATGGTCCCTAGAAACAGGATGAAGGCGTAGATGACTCGCGTCACCGTGGAGTTCTTGCTCTGGGGACAGCATCTGCACAGCAAGCATGTTGCACTGCTACATAGACACGGCACCTAGACGGAAAGAGATAGGGAAAGACCGTTGCCAAATGTTCCCGTAACATTATAGGCCAGCTAGGGACAAGCCAGTCGATGCAGACTGATTAACCTTAGTATAGGCACTTGCAGCAATGTGGTAGTAGACTTGAACCGAATCCAAACGCAATCAAAACAGCCCAGCAAATATCTTTGAGTTTTCTTTTGGGGTTTATTTCAAATTGGCCTGGGTGCCAGTCTGAGAAATGTGCTTTGTCTTCTCTGAGAGGGCTACAATCTGAGGCGAAACAAACTTGTCAACTTCCTCAAATGCTATAAAAAAAAATTCACAAGAGGGCGAAGGGGAAGTTTGCAGAGTAAAATCAAGTCCGCTTAAAAAAGCTGTTGCCTACTGATTCAACCAAGACAGAGAAACAATACATTGGTCTAACCTACCACACCAAAAGTGGGTTTTGCTGCAGTATTGACAATAGCCCAACCGTTACAAAGGGATGCAGGTGTTTAAGACACCTGACTCTGCAGAGTGGTAGGTAGCCTACTAGCCTGGGAGCTTGTAAACAACTCAATTCCCCAGGCAGGCAGACACAAGGTCGGCTTAGCCATGGGAAGCCAGAATGTGTGCCAGCCACCTAGCTAGCTAGCCATCCCTATAACACGACTGATGAGGACATCCTGGAGTTAACTTAGTCCTGACCTGCTTTAGCTGGGACAAAGCGGAGATGAACCATGAAACAGAAGTGGACTGTCCAATAGCCAGACAGTTCAAATGGAGGTCGGAAGACATTGGATTAGGCTTGTTGTTGTATGCGTTTGTCTCAATCGTAAATCTCAGAAAAACCTAAATTCATATTTCTAGAGGCATGTAGAGTAGTTACCGAATATCCCGTCCTACTATTGTTTTTGAAACGATACATGGCAACATTGTGTGGTGGTGGCTTGGGTTTGCTGGGTAGTATAGCATAGGGGTCTTGGCCAACACTTACTACCTGGGTCTGAGACAAAGTACGACTGTATAACTCATCACTGAGCTGCACCAAAAAGAGGCCCAACGCACTTTGTCCTCTTGTTGTTACAATATGACATTTCGCTCTAGGCCCTAGGCTATAATGACAAAACCACTGTATGAGATGACAAAGAAATGCATGTTCTTACATATATGCCATTACATGTAATGTATGTCATTATACAGTGGGGAGAACAAGTATTTGATACACTGCCGATTTTGCAGGTTTTCCTACTTACAAAGCATGTAGAGGTCTGTAATTTTTATCATAGGTACACTTCAACTGTGTGAGACGGAATCTAAAACAAAAATCCAGAAAATCACATTGTATGATTTCTAAGTAATTAATTTGCATTTTATTGCATGACATAAGTATTTGATACATCAGAAAAGCAGAACTTAATATTTGGTACAGAAACCATTGTTTGCAATTACAGAGATCATACATTTCCTGTAGGTCTTGACCAGGTTTGCACACACTGCAGCAGGGATTTTGGCCCACTCCTCCATACAGACCTTCTCCAGATCCTTCAGGTTTCAGGGCTGTCGCTGGGCAATATGGACTTTCAGCTCCCTCCAAAGATTTTCTATTGGGTTCAGGTCTGGAGACTGGCTAGGCCACTACAGGACCTTGAGATGCTTCTTACGGAGCCACTCCTTAGTTGCCCTGGCTGTGTGTTTCAGGTCGTTGTCATGCTGGAAGACCCAGCCACGACCCATCTTCAATGCTCTTACTGAGGGAAGGAGTTTGTTGGCCAAAATCTCGCAATACATGGCCCCATCCATCCTCCCCTCAATACGGTGCAGTCGTCCTGTCCCTTTTGCAGAAAAGCATCCCCAAAGAATGATGTTTCCACCTCCATGCTTCACGGTTGGGATGGTGTTCTTGGGGTTGTACTCATCCTTCTTCTTCCTCCAAACACGGCGAGTGGAGTTTAGACCAAAAAGCTCTATTTTTGTCTCATCAGACCACATGACCTTCTCCCATTCCTCCTCTGGATCATCCAGATAGTCATTGGCAAACTTCAGACGGGCCTGGACATGTGCTGGCTTGAGCAGGGGGACGTTGTGTGCACTGCAGGATTTTAATCCATGACGGCGTAGTGTGTTACTAATGGTTTTCTTTGAGACTGTGGTCCCAGCTCTCTTCAGGTCATTGACCAGGTCCTGCTGTGTAGTTCTGGGCTGATCCCTCACCTTCCTCATGATCATTGATGCCGGAATTCTTACTGGTTGGTAGGTGATCAAATACTTACAGTGGGGAGAACAAGTATTTGATACACTGCCGATTTTGCAGGTTTTCCTACTTACAAAGCATGTAGAGGTCTGTAATTTTTATCATAAGTACACTTCAACTGTGAGAGACATAATCTAAAACAAAAATCCAGAAAATCACATTGTATGATTTTTAAGTAATTAATTTGCATTTTATTGCATGACATAAGTATTTGATCACCTACCAACCAGTAAGAATTCCGGCTCTCACAGACCTGTTAGTTTTTCTTTAAGAAGCCCTCCTGTTCTCCACTCATTACCTGTATTAACTGCACCTGTTTGAACTCGTTACCTGTATAAAAGACACCTGTCCACACACTCAATCAAACAGACTCCAACCTCTCCACAATGGCCAAGACCAGAGAGCTGTGTAAGGACATCAGGGATAAAATTGTAGACCTGCACAAGGCTGGGATGGGCTACAGGACAATAGGCAAGCAGCTTGGTGAGAAGGCAACAACTGTTGGCGCAATTATTAGAAAATGGAAGAAGTTCAAGATGACGGTCAATCACCCTCGGTCTGGGGCTCCATGCAAGATCTCACCTCGTGGGGCATCAATGATCATGAGGAAGGTGAGGGATCAGCCCAGAACTACACGGCAGGACCTGGTCAATGACCTGAAGAGAGCTGGGACCACAGTCTCAAAGAAAACCATTAGTAACACACTACGCCGTCATGGATTAAAATCCTGCAGTGCACACAACGTCCCCCTGCTCAAGCCAGCGCATGTCCAGGCCCGTCTGAAGTTTGCCAATGACCATCTGGATGATCCAGAGAGGGAATGGGAGAAGGTCATGTGGTCTGATGAGACAAAAATATAGCTTTTTGGTCTAAACTCCACTTGCTGTGTTTGGAGGAAGAAGAAGGATGAGTACAACCTCAAGAACACCATCCCAACCGTGAACCATGGAGGTGGAAACATCTTTCTTTGGGGATGCTTTTCTGCAAAGGGGACAGGACGACTGCACCATATTGAGGGGAGGATGGATGGGGCCATGTATCGCGAGATCTTGGCCAACAACCTCCTTCCCTCAGTAAGAGCATTGAAGATGGGTCGTGGCTGGGTCTTCCAGCATGACAACGACCCGAAACACACAGCCAGGGCAACTAAGGAGTGGCTCCGTAAGAAGCATCTCAAGGTCCTGGAGTGGCCTAGCCAGTCTCCAGACCTGAACCCAATAGAAAATCTTTGGAGGGAGCTGAAAGTCCGTATTGCCCAGCGACAGCCCCGAAACCTGAAGGATCTGGAGAAGGTCTGTATGGAGGAGTGGGCCAAAATCCCTGCTGCAGTGTGTGCAAACCTGGTCAAGACCTACAGGAAACGTATGATCTCTGTAATTGCAAACAAAGGTTTCTGTAACAAATATTAAGTTCTGCTTTTCTGATGTATCAAATACTTATGTCATGCAATAAAATGAAAATTAATTACTTAAAAATCATACAATGTGATTTTCTGGATTTTTGTTTTAGATTCCGTCTCTCACAGTTGAAGTGTACCTATGATAAAAATTACAGACCTCTACATGCTTTGTAAGTAGGAAAACCTGCAAAATCGGCAGTGTATCAAATACTTGTTCTCCCCACTGTATATGTAGACTAAGTTTTACATGTAGGTTTTACTGCTCCACATACACTACCGGTCAAAAGTTTGGACACACCTACTCATTCAAGGGTTTTTCTTTATTTTTACTATTTTCTACATTGTAGAATAATAGTGAAGACATCAAAACTATGAAATAACACATATGGAATCATGTAGTAACCAAAAAAGTGTTAAACAAATCAAAATCTATTTTATATTTGAGATTCTTCAAATAGCCACCCTTTGCCTTGATGACAGCTTTGCACACTCTTGGCATTCTCTCAACCAGCTTCATGAGGTAGTCACCTGGAATGCATTTCAATTAACAGGTGTGCCTTCTTAAAAGTTAATTTGTGGAATGTCTTTCCTTCTTAATGCGTTTGAGCCAATCAGTTGCTTTTCCAACAGTCTTGAAGGAGTTCCCACATATGCTGAGCACCTGTTGGCTGCTTTTCCATCACTCTGCGGTCCGACTCATCCCAAACCATCTCAATTTGGTTGAAGTTGGGGGATTGTGGAGGCCAGATTATCTGATGCAGCACTCCATCACTCTCTTGGTAAAATAGCCCTTACACAGCCTGGAGGTGTGTTGGGTCATTGTCCTGTTGGAAAACAAATGATCATCCCATCTGGTTTGGGCTTAATGGGACTGTGTATCGCTGCAGAATGCTGTGGTAGCCATGCTGGTTAAGTGTGCCTTGAATCCTAAATAAATCACAGACAGTGTCACCAGCAAAGCACCCCCACACCATAACACATCCTCCTCCATGCTTTACGGCAGAAAATACACATGTGGAGATCATCCGTTCACCCACACCACGCCTCACAAAGACACGCTGTTGGAACCAAAAATCTCCAATTTGGAGTCCAGACCAAAGGACAAATTTCAACCGGTCTAATGTCCATTGCTCGTGTTTCTTGGCCCAAGAAAGTCTCTTCTTTTTATTGGTGTCCTTCAGTAGTGGTTTCTTTGCAGCAATTCGACCTGATGCGGCCTGATTCACACAGTCTCCTCTGAATAGTTGATGTTGAGATGCGTCTGTTACTTGAACTCTATGAAGCATTTATTTGGGCTGCAATTTCTGAGTCTGGTAACTGATGAACTTATCCTCTGCAGCAGAGGTAACTCTGGGTCTTCCATTCCTGTGGCGGTCCTC